TGGTACATGCATAAAGGTAAGATCACGAAGCAACTTTACTTTAGACCATCACTGTTTGATTAAAATTAACTTTTTAGGACAAAAGTACTCGGAAAGTACTCGGCCGAGTACTTTCCGAGTACTTTTCTCCTCAAAACTTAAATTTTACACAGTGTCTGAAGTCCAACAATTATTTTGTAATCTTACCTCTGCACATTTACCATCAAATGCCTGTGCACTCTGGCTTTATTCCCTCTTACCCAGTTCAGTATTTTGCAGAGTACGTTGGTACTTGGAAACTACTCGACTACAACACTGATTCACGGTGTCGCAAAATAAATCAAGTCTCTCGCCGCTAGATACAAAGCGTTACGTATTATCAGACAGCATTGATACGTTAGCCCACGGGCATTATTTAGCGGGCGGTAACTCGGTGTCTTTGGGTATAACTTTAAGCTCTTCGATGAAACTTCTATTTGGTTTATTTGATAAATAATATAAAGTGGGCCCCGTTTTCACGCGCTTGCCATTGACCTCATGCCTGTGCGGTTCCTTACTTTATAAACGTCCACGCTCCAAATCGGATCTGTGGCTCTTCTCACGGTGCCTCCCTCCTGCTCACCCGGGTAATGTAAATATCTAACTAATACATCTAGATGCAATTTGCTTTTAACGGGGCCGCGGGCGTTTGCCGTACTTGACCCAATTTTATTGCGTTTGCAGGCTCTTTATCAATTGAACGTGTTTTTTTCTTCATTTAGGGATTTTACGACTTGAGGCAAGCGTTTCACGTATGCAACGTTACGAATGCCTGCGTTTAACATTTTCTGCGCGTATTTATGGCCAAATGAACGCTTGGCTGAAGTTCGATTAAATCGTTCCACAATTCCCTGCGATCGATGTACTCCGGGTTTATCCACTTGAATTTCTACTTTATTTTTCGTCATCAATTTTTAAACTCGCCTTTAAATTCCGATCCCGAGTCCACCATTATAACCTTTGGCCAAGTCAGTGGCGAACGATCGTAAATTTTCTTGACGGCTTCAGACGTTTGCTCGGCCGTTTTACTGGTCAATGGCTCGGCTTCTTTATAACGAGAACCGACGTCTATGACGCATAAAGCGTATTTATAAGTGTTACGGCCCACGCGATCCCAAGGCAAGTATAAAACGTCCAATTGTTGCATGTCATAAGGACTAACATATTCTGATTGTAACGTCATTGGCCTGGGTACGTAATCTGGAGCGGGTAAATAAATTTGCCAAACTGCCTGTTTTTTTAACCAGGATCGCACGGTTGGTTTTTCTGCACCCGTTTTTGTGCCAAATGATCGACGGCACTTTCGCCTTGCCAATAGCCTTGAGAGCTGAAAAATAATTTTGGAAATTCTTGGTTCATTTAGAATATAATATAAATGGCAAGCGCATTAATGATGGTCGGAGGAGCGATAGTAAATGCATTAGCATTTACGGGTTCAAACTTTTTGTTTGTTAGTCTATCAAAGAGTAAAAAGACGAGGAAAGTAAACGTGGAACGTAAACGCGACGACCTAGCCCTGGAACAATTGGCACAAGTGAAAGAATCCTGGGAGCAAAATCGCATTCGTATGTTAGACTTTTTAAACGAACATATGAGACAAAAACGCGCGAGTCAGCAGACGTTTGTAAAAGTGGATGACGCGTTACGCGCTTATGCCGGATTGACCAGTAAAAACGACCAGAGCCGAAATTATCCAATCTCTAAGTGCCGTCCGAAGACCAGAAAATTCGCGAGTTTATATGGATTTTAGGCAGGACGGCTTTGGTAGGTCTTTCTGGTGTATCGGTACAGTTGAAATACTATTTTTAAAAGAATGGATCATCAATTATCAGACGTGAAAGCCAACCTAAGCAACATCGAGCAAATGCTCGGCGACATACGCCCAGATATCGATCTTATTGGTTACTTGGTTTTAGAGATTCAAAATTGGGCAGCAGAAATGGAATCTGAATCATTTCGCAAGAGAAATCAATTAACGCAATATGAAGACTTATTTTTCGTGGCGGGTGTATCGTTTATCACGTTTTCTTTCCTGTAAAAATTTTCCAGTAAATTAAGAATCGTTAGATATTAAGAAATTATGTCGCATCAATTCACTAAAAAATTAAACCCGAGTCGCAGACTAAAAGCGCCTTGCGTGATTAAAGGCGAAAGACTTTAAGTAACCATCATGCATAATCCGAGTACCATAGCAGCGGGCCACACGCTGAACGTAAAATTCCCCGCCTTAGGCATTGACGACGTAATCGTCCCGGGTACTGCAAAGTTGGCGCTTAAACTCGATTTAGACGGAGCATCAGATGATAATCGTACAGTGTATAGCAACGTAGTGCGAAATTTCGGAAATCTCGGAAATAAACGTCAGTTTACAATGTAATAAAATCGTCAGTTACCGAGACGCGGACGTGTTTCATAATTTCAAAGATAACTGGCTACCAATTTCACAAACTAAAAATATGGCTTATTTCGGATTAGAACGTGAAAACGTCGCAAAATCGCGCCTTGGTGCTTCCGACTAGATGCAGCCGCAAACAACGGCAAAGATAAGGCGATTGCCGATGCATTTAAAAATCGATATGCGATACCGTTAGATGCGCTGCTATAGACGGTCACGGGCCGTTTTATCCATCGGGGTTTAAAGAACCTCAGACGTATCAGTTGACTTTAACAGCAGGATAAAGTTGTCAATTCGGTAGATACCTTGACAGAATATGCAATTTCAGACCTGACCCTAAAGTATGAAGTTGCTACAAACCGAAACCTGGCAATGAGTATACGGTTTTATAATCCGCATATAACTAAAACGGTCGTCACGGTCGAAGGCAAACCAAATCAACTATACTTGCAGGGACTTTTCGAGTATCAGCATTTATCGAGATTACTTAATGTTTTGGCGACTCGGAACTGAATCGGCTCGTGCAGTTGAAAGGGCCTAAACCTGATGGGCATCGACATGGCTGACTATTGAAAAGATAAATACGGCCTGTGGCTCGATTT